CTGTCTGTCCATCCATCCATCCATCCATCCATCCATCCGTCTGTCCACCCACCCAACCGACCGACCGTCCCTCCATCCATCCATCCATCCATCCATCCAACTGTCTGTCCATCCATCCAACCAACTGCTTGTCCATCCATCCATCCATCCATCCATCAATCCATCCAACTGTCTGTCCACCCACCCGCCTGCCCAACGACCATCCATCCGTCCGTCCGTCCATCCATCTGACTGTCTGTCCATCCATCCATCCATCCATCCATCCATCCATCCATCCATCCATCCGTCCACCCACCCACCCGCCCGACCGACAGATCGACCATCCGTCCATCCATCCATCCATCCATCCATCCATCCATCCATCCAACTGTGTGTCCATCCATCTATCCATCCATCCAACTGTCTGTCCATCCATCCAACCAACTGCTTGTCCATCCATCCATCCATCCATCAATCCATCCAACTGTCTGTCCACCCGCCCGCCTGCCCAACGACCATCCATCCGTCCGTACGTCCGTCCATCCATCTGACTGTCTGTCCATCCATCCATCCATCCATCCATCCATCCATCCATCCATCCGTCCACCCACCCACCCGCCCGACCGACAGACCGACCATCCGTCCATCCATCCATCCATCCATCCATCCATCCAACTGTGTGTCCATCCATCTATCCATCCATCCAACTGTCTGTCCACCCACCCGACCAACCTTCCGTCCATCCAACTGTCTGTCCATCCGTCCGTCCATCCATCCATCCATCCATCCGTCTGTCCACACACCCGACCGACCGACCATCCCTCCATCCATCCATCCATCCATCCATCCAACTGTCTGTCCATCCATCCAACCAACTGCTTGTCCATCCATCCATCCATCCATCCATCCATCCATCCATCCAACTGTCTGTCCACCCGCCCGCCTGCCCAATGACCATCCATCCGTCCGTCCGTCCATCCATCTGACTGTCTGTCCATCCATCCATCCATCCATCCATCCATCCATCCATCCATCCATCCATCCATCCATCTGTCCACCCACCCGCCCGACCGACAGACCGACCATCCGTCCATCCATCCATCCATCCATCCACAAAATATTTGCCACAGTTTTGAAAAACTGATCTGAAAAACCTTTATGTTAACAAATCTAGAAAATGTAATTTAATGTCACCATTGCACTTCTGTTGGTTTCCTCTGGTTGCTAGGGTTAGGGTTGAACCCGAGTGCTGTAACAGAGAGAGAGGAATGAATCTAGAACTCCAAGTGCGGATGAAACTGAGGAAGAGGAGGGAGTGGACCAAAACGATGTTGGTAAAATCTTTATTGGCACTCGCCTTGGCTTCAGCCTTCGAGAAACCATAGAGGGAACTCATCACGCCCGACCCACAGGGAGCATTCCTACCCTCTACAACTTATAAATGAATCATCTATTTTCAGTCTGCTTCCAAACGCCGACGCCACCAGAAACTTGAGTCTCCCTCATGTAACCCCACAAATTTAATGGAGGATAAAATTAGCAGCAATCTGAGACTGAGCTCCTGAAAGGCATTTGGAGCCTTCACAGAGCAGCGGGAATTACCTTCAGCTTTGTTCCAGACTCACCTGTATCGTGACGATTCGTGGCAGCGGCTGGCGAGTGTTGGCTCCGCCCTCAATGGCGATACCAAGGGTGCTGGCACTCTTTGGCACCCTCACCAGTGTGGAGGTAGGCTCCAAAAGCCCCGGCTTCAGCAAGGGAATAAAAACAAGTAAGACACGAGAATGATGTTATTTATGCACATAGTTAACAAACGTGAACACACGTTATGAGTCTCCCTCCTCTTTGTTCTTTACTTCTTTTCGTTGTCTGAGCTCCTGAAAACGCGATCTTTCATCAGCATGTACAAATTTAGAGCTGAAGACAAATTCATCAACGTGTTCAGCTTCGAAGAGTCAGAGGCCAAAAACAGTTCACAATTTTACTTTCACAGCTTCACTTTCTGCCAACTTTGTTTCTTGTTCTGCTGTAAATGATCCGTTCCTGGTTTACTGATGCTAATTAACATTCATCCACATCCAAAGAAAAAGTAACGCTAATAATCATGAAGTCATGACTCTAGATCACCGTGGTAACAGAGACTGGACTCTAGATCACCGTGGTAACAGAGACTGGACTCTAGATCATCACAGTAACAGAGACTGGACTCTAGATCACCGTGGCAACAGAGACTGGACTCTAGATCACCATGGTAACAGAGACCGGACTCTAGATCATCACGGTAACAGAGACCGGACTCTAGATCACCGTGGTAACAGAGGGTGTGTCCGAATCCACAGGAAGGATTTTTGTAAGAGTGTGTTTTGAGGTCGATGACATCACAGCGCAGCGACGAGTACTGTCCCAATTCCAAGAATACTCATTCTCACGTCCTCAAACGCGTCCACGCTCCGCCCACATTTCGAGGACAGGTCTGTTGTTTCCTCACAGAACAAGGCTATCCCAGCATGCTTTGCACGCCAGCTGTGGATTTTCAACAGGAAGAGAAAATGGGGAGAGCTACGAAGTTTTAAACGTAAGTTTGTTAAAAACTAGCCGTAGAAACCTTAAAAGCTTAAAGCGGTTCAGTTTATCGACATTTTTTGTTTGTATATTTGTTCTTTAAATTACATTTTAGGCAGAAATCAGCCAGAACCCGTGTGTGTGTGTGTGTGTGGCGAATTAAACTTGTCATTTGTTTTAAGGACAACGGAGCAAAGAAGCGTTTTTATGAAGCTTAGAGGTGAAGAGTGAAGCTGTTTACACACAACCACAGAAGTTCTTCTGTGAAAAGTAGTTTTACATTCAGGGATTTACACAGCTGACACGTTTTAATGAAGTAAAAAGTTTGTGTGAAGAATAAAATTTTTTATCTTCTCATGTGGATAAATGTAAAAATGTGTTTATTGCGTTTTAGTCACCTGTGGTCTCTGATTCTCTGTAGGACTGCAGGTGTCCAGGGTCAGGAGAGGCTTTACCTGGTGGTCCTCCTGGGAGAGAGGCCTTCTACTGTCATCATGTTAATGTTATTTAGCTGTTTGATGTTTGAACACATTTATTAAAACAAATACTAACTGATAACTCTTTCTGGTCATTTATTTTATCACCAGTTTTATTATTACAGATGTTTTTGAACATGTTACATGAACAGAAAATGAAAAGATGGTAAGGAGACGAGATTATTTATAATAGGTTACACTTATTTACAGATCAGAACCAGTATGGACCAGTTATGTACGGTTAAAGCAGGATTAACCTGAGTGACTCTTCCTGGATCATTTATTTAAACTGAGTGAGCAGGAAGTCTTTAACAGTGCAGCTGGATCTGCTGCAGGAGGATCCAGATGTGGATGGAGGGCTGGAGCAGACCCGTGGCTGGACGTTTCTGGCCAGAGGAACATCATACAGGACGGTCTGCAGAGAGAGCTTTGGGACGCTTCCTCTCACTGTCCACTCCATCGTCCATCTACAGGGCCTGCTGGGCTGGCTCAGACGACGGCTGTTACATCTCTGTGAATGACTTGCCTGTTAACAGCAGTGGTGGTCTGCTGGTACCTCCAGCAGGACAGAGCACCACTGACTTCCTCCACACACATCTTCCTCAGGCTCATCCTCCCGACCCACAACTTCACCAGCACCGATGCAGATGTGCAGCACAGTGCATGCTGACCTGTAATAGGTTAAATAAGGTTTTTTATAGAAAAATGTAAAACAAAACATAACCTGCATTACACTGGTTCTGTTCAGTTTAAAGAAAAGCAGCAGGGAAAACTACAGAGAATTTACATTTTTAAGACAGATCTAATCATTATTAGGCTTAAGTTAAATAAACAAATGCACACTGAAGACACTTCAATGTTATTTTATTAAAAAGCCTGTTTTTAAAGCATTTTATCCTCATTTGATGCAAAATAAGTTCTAAGGTCCAATTTACATTAGAAAACATCCTGCTGCATTCAACATTTATAATGCATTTGGTTTATATGAATTACCTATATGATAATACTCTGTAGTAATGTGTTGTGTACGTTTAACAAGTTCATTCTGTAGCTTAAAACATACATGAAACCATCTAAAGTTAACATGTAAGTCCTGAAAGCTTCTAGAATAAACAAAGTTACTTTACCTGAAAACGGTTGTGAACAAACGCTGCTGATGGACGTGAAGCTGCTCTAGCTCCTTAACATTCCTGCTCCATTTTCACTAGCTTTAGCATTTTTCCTTTGCGTGTAGCTGCCGCCACGGCTGAGACGGGACCTACGGGCCACCGTAGAGGTGAAGGCTAGACTGTCCGAATTCAGAGCCGCTGGGTTCCGGTCTTAGCGGTCTAGCAAGGCGGCGAGGACCCGAACTCGTAAGCATCCGTGGATTCGGACACACCCAGAGACTGGACTCTAAATCACCATGGTAACCGTTACCTTTTGTGTGAAAAGCATAATTTGTTCAAAGCTTCGTAACAATTTCCTGAGAGAAAACTTTTATTTCTGTCAGATCCTGCAACATTTTTAACAAATGGCAGATTAGCAAATAAGGTTCAAGCTCCGCCCTCATCTTCATCAGAACTCATTCACACCCAGCACTGGGTCCACTGACTGGATGTTTTCTTCATCACAATATACGTTACCATGGAAGCTGGTGTGTGGTTTTTAAATAGATTATTTACTAATAAAATCTCTGATCTCTTCATTAACCTACGAGTGAGACGACCTGCAGGTCTTCATGCACTGGGCCTAAGCCAGAGGAAGGTGGTTTCATTTGGGAATTTCGAGCTGAAAAAGCTTCTCGTGAAGTTTTGAATGAAGCTGGAACGTCTGGAGGTTTATTAAAGCTCAGCTGTGTGGGCTCAGACAGAACCAGGGAAACCCCCAAAACAAAACCCATGTTAGGATAAATACATGATGAATACATACTTGATCCGGGCTGCTGTCAGTTTATATTGTTGTTTACTATTTACTGCAGTAGTGAAAGATACTACAACACAG